GACGCATTCATCAAGGGTGAAGGCACATATGCAAAGTTGGATAATTTAACACTTTTGGAAATTCACACTGTAAGGCCAATTCTCCCGCATTCTTTGGATCATATTGCTCGTTATCAGCGGACGGCGATGGCTACGCAACGGGATACTTCTTCATTAGGTTTGAGTAATTCAATGAATACGAGTCATTTCTCACAATAAATAAAGAAAAAATATACTCATCTGCGTTTTCTACATGATAAAAACATGGTTTTCTACAAATACCTCTTTGGACATTTTGCTCAGTATTTTTGGCATGCAATCATTTGCTTTGATTTTTCACTACCTTAACGAATTTTGAGGTCTGGCATCATTTTTCAGTAGACAATCAGCTGTTTGACTCATCTTTGATGACGTTTCGTGTTGATGCAATTTTTCCCTGTTTCATTGGGATTCGGTTTTTACGAAAATTGAACAAATTTTTAAAACCTTCCGGAAATTGGCCATTTGAAAGGTGCGTTCATAAGTCAAAATATTAAGAAACGGACATACATATACCACAAAAAGGCAAATACAGGAACAGCCTGCAATTGATTTGCCTCTTGTGGACTACCAAGATCCTGTCGTTCATCTAAAAAAAAAAACATACAAAATGAATGAAACTGAGTTGGAAGGGAATGCTGATGATGACAATGCCATCAGGCCAGTTGGAACCAATAGAATTCATTTTGCAAAGGACGTAAAAAATGCAATCGATGAGGTACATATGCTTAGAAAGTGCGACTCGCAACCTAATTTACAATTGAGACTGATTTCTCTACAGGTATTAAAAACTGAGGATCCCATGGACTCGCCGGATTTCAACACAGTCGATTACATAAATCAGCTCTTTCCGAATGAACATTCTTTGGTGAGCATTGATGAGACCATACAGCGTATGCAGTGCGAAGTGTCACTTATTGATGATAATATACGCGCCGTCGTACGTGGCCAAACGAATACCGGCCAAGATGGACAAATGGCATTGACCGAGGCGCAAAAAGTAATATCTACATTGTATGCCCATATTATAGATGTAAAAACGCGGGCTGAGAAAACTGAGGAAATGGTTAAGGAGATTACACGCGACATCAAGCAATTGGATTGTGCAAAACGAAACCTTACTTCGGCTATAACCACGTTAAATCACCTGCATATGTTGGTGGGTGGAATCGAAAGCTTAAATAAGTTGATTGAAAAACGGTTGTATGGGGAGATACTTAATCCATTGCAAGCAATTACTGAAGTAAATCAGCATTTCAAGCAGTATTCTGATATTGAAGAAATCAAGGTAAGGTAATAAGGTTAAGGATGGGCGAAAACTAAGTAACAAAAAATTCTTACCAATTGTGGTGTTTAGAATCTCTCCCAAAATGTCGATAAAATTCAAGTTACTCTGGCCAAACAAATCGCGGACGATTTCAAAGAGGCATTTTCTACAAAGTCAAGTACAGCAACAAGTGCTGGAAACAAACACCATTTGGGATTAAATCAACTGGCAGACGCCTGTAAAGTGATTTCCGTGTTGGATCCGAAAGTCAAAAAAGATTTGTTGAAATGGTTTATTGGTACGAAAATGTTATACATACATCCGTATGTATGTATAGACTGTAAATTCAATTGATTTTTTTTTATTCCACAGCTCAACAGCTAGAGGAATATGTGCAACTCTTTCACGAAAACCAAGATATCGCTTGGTTGGACAAAATCGACAAGCGCCATGCATGGTTGAAGCGACACCTACTAGACTTTGAGGATAAATTCGGTGCTGTGTTTCCACTTGATTGGGAAGTATCTGAGCGCATTACCGTCGAATTCTGTCGCCTCACACGCGAGCAACTCTCTCATATCATGGCAAAACGCAGCAATGAAATAGATGTGCACCTTCTTCTCTTTGGCATTAATAAAACTCAAGCTTTTGAACAACTTCTTTCGAAACGCTTCACCGGCGTAACTTTGGGCGCTGAAAAGCTTCTGGCGCCGACAGCTCTTAAGTTACTACCAGAAAGTGGTGTTATCGATCCAAATGCGCCAACGACAATTGGTTTATTTCACGATCAAATCGGCAGTTGCTTCAAAGCACATCTGAGTATTTACATTAAGAGTATCGATCGTAATCTGTCAGAGTTGATGGAAAAGTTTGTTGAGCCATTAAAAGTGTCAGAATCGAGAACCACTGTGTACCCAAGGTGCATGAATAGGTTTGTTCGTCGAAGATCCAGCAAGAATTATCCAACACTCAAAATATCAGAGAGTAAGAAAAAATTCTCTCAAATTCTCTCTCATGTTGAGAAACTTGCAAATTTCTGCACGAACGCAAATTTGCAGGAATTTGCAAGTTTCGCTGCCAGCTGGCGTCCACGGTTGCATTTCAAACATAAAATTTTTTTATAGAATTTTTAAAATTCTTTCGGATGGCCAAAAACAGGATATACATGTATATTTCTTGTTGTTCTGACTTTCTTTAACATACATTTAAATTTCTTCTTCGTACTAGCTGTCGGGTTTCTTAAATCGACTCTGGTTGCAATTGCATTCCGATTGTGAATACCATTTTTTTCAGCCGAATTAACTTCAAATCATTGGAATTAACTAAATTAATTATATCAACAATTATTTACTTCCTTTTTTCATAAAAAAATCGCTCGTGTTTATAAATTTTTAAATTTAACGAACTAATTTATTCAAATTATTATTATTGTAGACAAAAATGCAACCATGCGCCACAACCACATGTTTTTCGTGTTTGCAAATTCTTGCTTTTTCCAGCAAGAATTTGCAACTTCTCTCCAAGAGAACTGTCACTTTGCTCTCACAATTTTTGAGTGTTGGATAATTTTTTGGTCTGCACGAACGCGATTTGGGCAAAAAATCGTGATAATTCGTACAAATTCGTACAAATTTTTTGCTCGACGAACAAACCTAATATAGACAGTCAGTTCATTACACCATGTAGTGCGATAGATTTTTTTGTAAAATTTTTTCTCCCACAGTTCAGCGGACTTATTTGTATTCTACAAAAAGTGCATGGTGCAATGTAATCAGCTTAGCAATGAACAGCCTATGTATGAGTTAGCGCTGGTCTTCAAAAAATATCTACGTGAATACGCAAGCAAAGTTTTAGAATTCAGCACGCCGAAATTGATGACGACTACTGCCTCAATTGGTGAGATTTTATGTTTTTCTTTTATTGCCGATTCATTTTTATATATGTTCCTTACCATTTTCGATGTTCCCTTCCCAGGCAAAAGCATGTCTTTACTTACGCGTGATATGCAGAATCTATCCACAGCAGCCGGCCAAGTATTCCATAACTTTTTGAAAGAAGGTGAAACACAACGTTTCCCGCGCGAAGATTTAATCCAAATTTGTTGTGTCCTAACCACCGCTGAATACTGTTTGGAAACTGTACAACAGTTAGAAGATAAACTAAAGGAGAAAGTATCTGCTGCCTTTGTTAACAAGATTGATATGTCTGAAGAGAAGGATGTCTTTCATCGGTATGTTTTTGAGTTTTTTTACTCCTTTAAGTAATAAATTAATTTCAATCACTCTTCCCAGCATCATCTCCAACTGCATACAATTACTAGTGCAAGATTTAGAAGCAGGCTGTGAGCCATCACTACAGTCCATGTCCAAGGTGCAGTGGCAAAGTATTAGAAATGTCGGCGATCAAAGCGGCTTCATCAACAGCATGTACGCGAATTTCAAGCAGACTGTGCCCGTTATACGGGACAATTTAGCCACATCACGCAAATATTTTACACAATTCTGCCATAAATTTGTCAATGCATTTATTCCGAAATTCATTAGTGTCCTCTATAAATGTAAGTTGACGCATTCCGATGGATCTAACAATGTTCTGGGTTGTGAGCAACTTTTGCTCGATACACACAGTCTAAAAACGGCGTTACTCGATTTACCTTCAATTGGTTCGAGTGTGAATCGCAAGGCACCCACTAGCTATACTAAAGTAGTCGTCAAAGATATGACACGTGCCGAAATGATTATTAAAGTAGTAATGACGCCGGTGCAACCGCCAGCACACTTTACACAGCAAGTGCTTAAACTTCTGCCAGACATCACTATTGCAGAGTATCAGAAAATTCTAGATATGAAAGCCGTAAAGCGTGTGGATCAATTGCAATTGATTGACTTATTCAAACACACTGCCTCTCATGTGGCTGTGGTAGGCAGTGATTCGCCGGAGTTAGCAGCGACAAATGTCGAAAGCGGTGCTGCACCCGCGCAAGGGGACTTGCAGTCGAATGAAGATCAGAATACTACTACGGCGGCGTCAAAGGACACAACTGACAGCGGTGATGCGCCGTATACAGCTGCTGCAACATCTACGCCAAAACGTGCATTTATTTTTAGCGTTGGTAGCTTTACTGGTGGCGCAGAAAAAAATGCAGATGGCACTTCAAATAGTGGTGGCGATCGTGGGCGCATACGCAAGCTAGAGAGCTTGCTGAAGAAGCGTTTGCCGTAAGCAGGTGGCGCGCGTAATGAGGTCAATCCGAGTAGTGATGATTGCATGCGGTGTGCGGCTTAGATATAAATTTTTCTTGTTTGTTTCACTTATATGTTTGTGGTGAGTATTACATTCCATTTTACTTTCTGTTTTTATGCGTTCTTGAAAGTTTTTTTGGATTGACGAATTCTGCAGCTTTGCAGATAAGTTATAAGTTGGCCCTAGCAAAACAGAACTATTATCATAAAATAATGATGTAATGAGTTTTTTCAAAGCGGGATCAGGAAGATAATTTTCATTTATAAATAAAAAAATATTCAAATAAAATGTGCTCTTTTGAGTTTTAGCGACCAATATCGTCATTGCGAATTTTAAAATATGTAACTGAAATAAAAGCGGTCGCCGGTAGGCAATGGCAAACCTCCGAGTGTATTCCTGCCATGAAAAACAGCTTCTCATAAAAATACAATCGCCGTTCGGAGTCGGCGTAAAACTGTAGGCCCCTCCGAAACTAACATATATGTAAGCACCAATCTATTATTATTAACTGAAATAAAATAACAAAGATATCGATTTCTTTTGGTCACGTTTATTTAACATTAAAAATTTCAATAGATTTTCAAGTTTACATTTTAATTTAATCAATTTAACCGTTGAACTGTGGGTATGATTTTTTTTTTGATTTCCATTCTACTAAAAATAAACTACGTATTACTGGCTAAACCTGCTCACGATAATCATACACTCACATTTGTTTTTATTTAATCATCCAACCCTACTATGCCGGTTTGTTTTTGCTGGGCAAAGTATATGTACTACATTTGTTTTTAATGTATGGTTCAACTTTGCCTTGCACAAACACATATGCATGTTTATTTCAAAACCCATGGATAGTTAAATATACTAATTAAATATAAAATATTACATACTTATGGTCAGTCGTTAAAAGTTGACTTTGTAAAAATTCCTGCGGGGAATCGTTGAAATGATCCTTTGTAAGGTGTTTAACAAATTATCAATTTTTGTTAAATACATTAAATATGCATATATAAATACATGATATAATATATGTATTTGTGTACGTAGTATGCTATATAAAAATATATTGTCAAAATTGCGCATTGTAGGTTGTGCCGCTAAATTAGCGGTACAAGCGTGTGAAATTCTTTAACGCCACAGTTATCGTTTTGGGAGTATCAGCGCTGAAAAAAGGAAAAAATGAAATATGGAATTAGAAAAATCGTATATTTTAGCAGCGTATACGGTTTAAATTGATTCACTTGAACTTCAACAAGTTAACTTTTCTTTTCTACTACAGTAGCTCTGATTACTTACCCCAACAATGCGGCAGTAAAATCGTCCAATTGTTGCTGCGTTGCTGTTACATAACCACCACTATTTCGCTTTGGCAGAGCATCCAGTGCGGTCTTTACATAAGCCTGCACATGCTCTTTTGTCACAACCAATTTCAATTCGAAAACCACGTCCGCAACATCGGACAACATGTAAGAGTGCAGACAAAAAACTGACGCGTGTATCAGATTCATAACGAGCGCTTCGCCGTTTTGTTGCGCGATTTCCTTCACCAAAGGACGACATTCGGGATGACGTTGATTCGAACTTCGACCCCATTTTAATAGGTTACAGAAGAATTTCATCACCGATGAGTTGGCTTCCCGATGGTCGAGCGTGCAGGCTAGCAGGGCACATTGGAAGATGGGTGTGACGAGCGCGCTTTGCAGGAATGGAACGGGACAGCACTCGATAAAGCGCGAACATAAACGAAAGAAGTCATCCACGGTGTCTGGATTATTCTTGAGACCGTTTTCCACCTGTAACATGCTGAAGGTGGGTTCAATAAATGCTTTTAACATTTCCAACAGGCCTGTGTGGATTAGGAGAAATGTGTTTTTTGATTATTGGAATGCTGAGCTGTGGTGTGATTATAACTTATCTACACTTTCAATTTACCTGGTATGCATTCGCCAGCCTTTGCGAATTCGTCGACTAGCACCGATCCGAGGTACAAAAAGCAGCTGTGGTGATGTAACGTATAAATACAAATCATTTGCTTCACCAATGGTTCAACCAGGAGTGAAGCCTGTTTCCGCACCATACGCACGCCGTAGCGTATGAGTCTGCAAGTACGCTCCATTACGCGTACATCTGTTTGATATTTGTCCATAACTTGTGATAATAATGGCCATGCATCTGTGAGTATTTGTAAAGTTGGATGCAGCTCAGCGTCGCCAATATCAGGATTCGTGTGACGTATAACAGCACATGCGCGATCAATCGAGTAAGCCGGATCAGTGCGTTCGCCCTTCTGCATGGTCGCCAATGTGGCAGCTGAGTTTTCAACCAATTGTGCCAACGGTTGTAACTGAAAGGAAATAATTTCACGCATTGCTGTCTCTAGTTGTGTGCGATGGAGACGAGATAGTATCAGGGAAATGCCCTTCAAGAGGCCAATGGCCAGATCGTTGTTGATTTCAAAACTATCCAGACTACGCGCTATCTCTACGAGACCATTAATGTGGCAAACCATTTTCTGTCGACAAGCCGAGCAGATGGAGGTGAGCGCTATCGCAGCGGCAGCCGCTAATCCATTTTTTTGCTGTAGCGAAAAAAGTAGGAAATTTAGCACAGCTTGCAGTGATTCTGTATGATTTTCGATCCAGTCACACAGTTCACCCAACAGCATAATCGAAGTGTAGCGTACAGCAATGTGTGTATTATCGGCCAGATTAAGTATGGCCTCCACGACTTTGGGGATAACTTCATTTTCATCACTTACAAAGCAGAAAACATGTAAACTTATGAAGTAGGGAACATTTGCTTTGTGGAAATGATATACTTACGGTATTATATTTTTGGCTACATTTTGCATAATAAACAAAGCAGACTCTGTTGACTCCCATGGAGTGTTTGGTGCCTGCAGTATAAGGAACATTTGTTTAAAACAGGCGCCTGAGCCGACTATAAAGGCCACATCCTTAATTAAGTCAGACACTTTTCGCCGAAATTCCTGTAAAAATATGACATATAAAACAGTTGTGTTTATTGGAACTGCATTTAATACTCACATTAAAACTATCATTTTCTTCGATTAACCCGTCGTGATCTGCGTCCATTTGCGCATGACGGTAGAGAGCACCCAAAAGCCGTTCAATATGTGGCTTATAATGTGAAGTTAACTTGTCATTATAACGTTGAAATAGATCCTCACTCAGACGATACCACAAATTAAATGTGATTTCTGCAACCTCATAGTCAAAGTGGCCCACGCACATCAGCACCAAATCCAATCCTTTTATGGAATAATGTGGTACATCTTCCTGGGAAAGCAAATCGTAGAAGTAAGCTTCACATAAAACAGTGAATATGCGACAGTAGTTCATAGTTTTGTCGATGTCTTCGTGTGCCACGCTAATATGGTAAGCTGTCTCCAGCGAACAAACTGCATTGAATATTTTTGCTTCCATAGCCGGGTCGAAGCTATATCGACTAGTATTGGCCTCAGTGCAGCTGAGCAATGCGCACAAGCACTCGGTAGATGTGTCATGCAGTTTTCGAGATGTATCTCCGCTGCTGAGCAGCTGGAAAACTTGCTGACCCACCGTGTTCTCGGTGAAATGGTGTATGGGTATTGCCTGTACTGCCACCCATGCGCTGAAACAGCGCAGACTACAACTAAGTAGGCGCTCTTGGGGGCAATCGTGCCGTTGCAAGCAGACACATAGAAATTCAAGTACTTTGGGTGCAGCAGCATCTAATTGCTTGTGTATCTCTTCGCGCCGATTGGAGCCCAACCGCAGATACCGCGAATCTATTTCTTCTGGTATTAATGTCAGTATCTCCAGCAAAGGCCAAACGGCATGTGGTTGTGGTGACAACAGTTCCAACAGATCAATAATTGGTTGCTTCCAAGCAGCCATCAACAATGCCAAGTCAGCAACAGCGAGACTCAGTTGAGTCACAATTACTGCATCGGTTTCATTAGTGATTTGCCCTATGTGAGCAATCAAAGAATCTCGCAGTGATTCGTGTGATGCAGGTGGAAGCTCATTGAAAGAATTTTGAATTTTATTTCGCATCGTCTGTGCTGCAAAATAACACGAGTGCAAATCGCGTTTCTGTTGTAGAAGTTCGTCCGCGATTGTCCATGAATATATCTGTTGATAAAAGAAATATTTGTTTCATCTATGGAAAGAAAAACCGCGCAAATTTTTCATTTTCAACCTAATTGATAACTCACCGACTTCTGGAAATCTTCCAGCCATTTGTTGGCCTCCTCCTTCTCTTTGGGATTACTATTGTGAAAGAGGGTACAGATACCCTGATAAACGAGCTCAGCGGTAGGCGCTGCTTCCATTTCCTATCCCAACACTTGCAAGTACTCTAAATATAATTTTCTTATATTGAAGTTTGACTGAATTTGTAAAAATAACAAGAAATGACAGCTTTTGCACTTTTCGTCCACAACTCCTGCTGTAACGAGCAATAATCAAGTATCTGCAAATCGTTTGCTATGCATAGTAAACTGAAATTGAACACAGAGTGGCAAGTTTATAATTTTTAAATGCAGGGTGATCGAAAATTAAATAATTTCACTAAAAAATTTGCTATTTAATAATTTTGATGGTTTTTGTTTGCACAAAAAAATTAATTTAACTGTTTTCAATAAAAAAAACAATGTGCATAAAATTTGGAAAAAATTGCATAAAATAAAGAAGCATATATATTGATAAGGTTAGGTTAGGTTAGGTTAGAGTGGCTGCCCCGCGCAGAACGCGGAGCACACGTGGGCTGGAAAAGCCCGTTGTGATACCACTGGCCGAAGCCATTTGTTTCTTTCCCTCCCTTAGTAATTGAACCACCGAGTGCGTTTTATATAGCACAAAAAGTCGAGAACGTTCGCCGAGTTCAAATCGGCTAAACAATCTACAAAGTACTTGTTGAAGAATTGGTTGCGCATATTGGACAGGGCGGGACAGTGGCAGAGATAGTGTTCGATGGTCTCCACCTCCTCCTCGTCTCTGCAACTGCGACAGAAATCGTTGGTGTGGTATCCCAACCTTTTTCCGTGTGTGCCCATCAGGCAGTGTCCGGTGATTACCCCGACTACTAATCTGAGAGAGCAGCGGTCCAGCCGGGTGAGAGCTATGGATCGCTTTACATCAATCTTTGGCCATATTTGCCTGGTAATATGGCATGTGGTTTCCACAGCCCATCTTATATTTACCTCCTTAACGAGTTTCGCCTTTAGTCTGTGTTTGCAGGAGGTTAGAGGTATGCCCGCATTCGGAGCAGAATTGACTACAGAAAGTTGCGTCCCCCTCCTTGCCAGCTCGTCGGCTAGGCAGTTGCCAGGGATGTCCCTGTGTCCAGGGACCCATACAACAGTCAAGGAGCATTTTGATGCCAGCAGGTTGAGAGAATTTCTGCATTCGATGGCTACTTTGGACGTTGCTTC